CATTACACTTTAAAATGTAGAATGATGAGTCACTTACAATAGTAAGTATAGCGAGAGAAAAAAAATGTCAACAAACTTACGTTATACTTTAAAATGTAGAATGATGAGTCACTTGCAATAGTAAGTAGGTCACCACTATCAGCCCAATAGAGATTCTGAATAAAAGAGACCAAACATCAATTCATATAAGCTATAAGAGATCTGAACATGCACAGCACAAAATAAACTTGTAATATTCTCACTTTCACATTAACATCAATGCGCCGTATCAATCTGCATTCAGCCCAGTCATAAAAGCAAATGAAGTCATTCGAGCACATTGCAAGTAAAGCTCCTCCAAAGATACGCTCAGCAGAAAAGGTGGGTCTTATACTTCTCTTCTCCTGAAATTACAACTTCTCATCTTAGTTCAACTTCACAAGGATTAGAGTTAGAATTTTTGGACTACGCGATCAAGAGCAGCAAGGATTATGGAGTAAACAATATGACTAAACAAATCCAAGTTTCAGAAACAACAACATAGCGTCCATCAGAATCATGAACAAAGGTGAACGGACTAAGGAGGCCTATATGCGTTGGACAAAGGCTAATGGAGACTAATATGCGCTAGTATAGTATGACTGCATTTATACCTGACTGATGAGAACTGCAGCAAGAGTATGGGAAATCACACACTTAATGGGTTTGGTTAAGCACGAGACCCACTAGTAAATCAGTATGACTGATAGATTGTCAATATAAAAAACTTACGTCGAGTTCCATATAAAAAATGTGTGTCAGATGCTCCTTTCCGATATTAAAAATACATTTTAAGTACTAAGAATTTAGATTTAAGTGCGACATATGATGATAAATAAGAATTTAGATTTAAGTGCGACATATGATGATAAATAGCTCTCTCCTTGTTCTTCAATTAGTTGCACAAATTGAAGTGGTTTTGCAGCGCCAATTATATAGATGCCAGAAAGAAATAGAAATAAACAAAGTCAGCCAGGTAAATTTGTAGGTTATGGGTGGACCATTTCTAGGAATAGACGAGGTGATTTTTTTTTGTGATGAACGAGGAATGATACTGAAACTTAGGCATGTGTGAGACATTTTAAATGTGGCCTCCACTAGTCCTTGAAGCTGAAGCTGGGTGTAGAACTTTACGCAGGTAAAGCTAAACCTACTGATTGGGGAGAGCGCAAATGGGTCAATCATAAAGTGGCACTGAAATGAGGACACCTTTCAGGCTTAATTAATGACAGGGTTCTTCGTGTGGGAATAAGGGATAAGCTAAGGTGGGCAGAACAGCAGCATATGCGTGAAACACCTTTCATGAGATTGCTTCTCATCTAGAAAAGGGATTTCTGGCTTAATTCATAAACCAGTATTTTATCACTATTATTATTGTATCATCATCTCAACTGAAGTGAGAAAAGCTGTCAAGAAAAGACAATAGTAGTAAGAGTAATCAACTAATTTTATAGTCTATACAAGCAGCTGTCAACATGACTTAACCCTCGACATATTGGATGGATGTTTATGTCAATAGAAAGAAATAGAACTGATTTTCCAAATTGATCAATTATTATTTCTCTTAGATGGATCCTTCTACAACAGGTTACATCAGTAGGAGTAATGACCCTGTATTCTTAAGATGTACACCAGAAGTGTAAGATTATTAAGAGGCCATTTCTTCTTTAATCCATGCTAGTTTCCCCAATAAAATAAGAGAATAAAACAGGTTGAAGTAAATACCTGAAAGTTTTTGCTGAAAATTTTTATTCTTGATGTGCTTTCTCTGACCGCATATTCACCCTCAGATGACCACACAACCTCGAGAGCGGAGCCAAAAGATCTGTTTCTCCATGCCAGCGCTGTGTAAATAATGTATTCACCATCTCCACAAACAACCACAAATCTACCATTACGGTTATGCTTTAAGCTCTACAAACATAAGAAATAAATGCTTGATCAAAATTCCTTTTTTTCCACCAGGGATGAAAATTTAAGATGAAATTAACTGCAACATAAAACTATTCAATTTAGATTTACAACATTCTTATGATAGAAGGTAAAGCAACTAAAACTGCCTTCAGGTAGACGCCCTAATTCCGTATTATATGGTTTCAACGAAGAATATCACTACAAGGAAGAAGGTGAAGGGCTTAAAAAACCTTAGGACAACTCAGCAAAGCTTGGATGAACAGGATATGTACATGGTTTATAGAAGCATCAATTTAGCAACTCTGGGCCTAAACTTATCTGAATTGAGAAAAGAACACTCACGAAGCCAACCTCCAAAGACATCGTTAAGGTTTGTCTTATTATGTTAAAATGGATAGACCAATTCTTCATAAAGCAAGAGATGATAAAACGGGAGCAATAAGTATAAAATAATGCATTTCCATGATTAAAAAAAAGTAATGCATGGTTCAAAATATTACGTTTTTCTAAAAACATAACAAAGACAGCTTTATACACTAACTAAATGAATTAAAACAGGAACAACGTAGAACCACACTGATCCGCACTAGATCAAAGAATAATGCCAAGACTGCAAATAATCTCTCAATTCATCAAGACACCCCGCCTATTGCCTAACATAAAAAACATGAAACTGCATTTCATCACTCAGTAAGACAAATAAAATAAATATCTGAATGTGCCCACATGTGTTTTGTTCATCCCTTTCAAACATATCCAAGAAATTCTGCAGTGTTGACTTCGAATCAGTATGTGATACAGATACAGGAGAGCTAAAGTTTGCATGCTTGCCATGCTTCTGAGATATCCTTTAAAGGATCAATTCATCCATGAGTGACAAAGAGGATCAAGGAGGTAAAGAAACTGCAGCTTAGAACATAGTACCAAGAAACTTACTTGTGGATAGAGGTCACAGCTCCCCAGCTCCTTCACAGCCAAAGGCAATCTTTCTCCATCTGTAACCTGAAGGACAAATTATACCAATTTTCTAAATTAGCTACAGAAAAGTTTATCTTTCTACTTTTTGATGAAAAAGTACAGAAAGTAACCTCATAGTCTGCTCCGACTGTCTTAATATTGACAGTTTGAATTTCGTTATGTTTTGCCCATATGATCTTACCACTGCTGTCCATACTAGCTACTGGAACTTCACGACCAAGTTTTATCATTATGGTTCCTTCATCATATCCAATTACCACTCTGCATAATTTACCAGATGAGCAAAAAGTCAAATAGTACACCATGTAATCAAGATTTTTTACACAACTAAGAAGCTTTGTTAGAGAACTTATCTAATAAATAAACAATATAGAACTTATCTAACAAAGAAACAATATTAGATAAGAACACCCAAAATATCAAAAGGATATATCTTCATAATTTGAAGCAGCATTATTGTTTTATAAGGAAATCATAGAATAAATTTCTCTACCGTGGAAAATTAAGCAAATTGTGAAGGAGGGGTTAATGTTTGACAATTACCTCCTTGAACCTCTCGAGTATCCCACAGCCCAAACTCGTTCAAGACCGTAATTTAGCGTGTTCTCAAGCCTGCAAAAAAGATAAGAGGATGATGAAACTGAAAGATAAAAGAAAATATGGAATCCTTCAATTCACAAACATTACAAATGAACATAAATGGGACTAATGATAAATCTAAAATAACTTTCTCAAGGAAATTTTGGACAATAAGAAACACAGTAACTGGAACCACAATATACGTAGAGAGATTTCTTATACACGTACATACATACATACATATATAATTATAGACATGTCTCTATCCAAAAATCCAATGAAATATTTCTAAGAAATATAATAGCATACAATGGTTATATGTGCTAAAAGTTTAACTTAGCATAAACTCTAGGTCTAAACTGGAGCAAAATTATATTTCTTAGAATTATGCCCATGGAGAAAATATGAGGCTGATTTAACAGGTAATAAACAAGGATGTAACGGTGTGAGATAATGTGAGAGTAATAATTTCAAGTAGTTATTATGAACGTGTAGGAAAAGTGATGTTATATTTCATACTAGAGAGCAATCACTGCACCTCTAAAATAGGTGTAAAGTTTTGAATTTACATTTTACTAAACTACAAGAAATGTTAGCATACACCCAGGGGTGGATCCAAATACATGGGTAGGAGTGCAGTTGCACCCCTACAAATTTCTAAATTGTAAAT